TATTGGTCAGTTTGTGAAATTTATTATTGAAATTGGAAGATAAGACGATAATGTGCCTTTGTGTCAAAAATGTGCAAAATCGGGTCAATACTTAATTTGAGCATTTCATTCATTCGCATTTCGGTTGGCTTTATACCGCATATATCGGTCAATTTATAAAATATTTTAGCAAAATTTAATGAATATATATATATGCTATAATTATCTTCATAAAATTGCGTGGAAAGATGCCCTCGAGTATATTTGAGTAATCTTAAAAGTTAATACAGCAGTTGAAACCTTCCTCTTTCCCCAATATACCCAATGTAGTGATTTCCGATTTTGATGCTGACTTTGTAACAGTTATGCTTACCAACTTGCATGATATTTTAATGAAATTAAGTAGATGTGTTTTCTCAAGCATATGGCGTGAAATGAAATTGCCCTGGTCTAAGCCTCATATCCCTGACTTTCGATTATTTGGTTGGCCTTTGGAATTTATATCACATTTATTTCATTTGAGTTAATTAGGTTGATTCTAATAAAAATATCTCGGACATGAAACAATATAGTAATGAGGCTAATTTAATCACTGTAATTTATTCGCGATTTAGATAGAATAAAGAATGTTGAACTCTTTCGCAACATTTTTAATATAATATAAAGTTTTGTCAACACATGAAAGAATTTGCCCGGCTTTGCTCCGATACATTACAGAGTATAAAAGGTTCATTTGAACGGGAATTAAGCCCTTCCTTACTTGTTAAATTTTCAAAAGTGATTTGGCCTTATATAATATAAATGTGTATACACATATACATACTTACATGTGCTTTTTTGGAAGTGATTTACGCAATAAGATGGCCCATCTGGCTTTAAAGGGATTATCCCAAAAACAAAACATTTATTTTAAAATAACACCAGGCTTGCATAGTTTACGCTTGTGAGTGAAAGTAAAAGTACAACAGGTAAATATTTGTATAAATATGTGCATATACATTATATGCAGTATTGGTCAAAATTAAAGCACTTTTAGAAATGTTGACGTTCTTAAAACAAATCGGTATCGCAAATAAAAACTGTTTGCATATATTGTTAGATAACACATTTATTTATAATAAAACAGCATAATTGTTATAATTTTCTCCTGATTTTAAAAGTTTCACCTAAAATACAAGAGTTATAGTAGCTAAAAATGAAAACAAAATCACACCTCCCGATTTGTTGCAGCAAATACTAATGAGCTCATATTTTGTAGAAAATCTGTTATCTACTGCACATTTTTAATGATTTGATTACAATCAATTCTATATGATTTCCCGATAGAAAGTGAAAAAATCAGATGAAATTTAAAGTTTTATTATATTGTATGAAAAGTAGGCGTAGAAACGGTCCGATTTCGCCCATTTTCTGTGCATTATAATATAATCTTATGTATCAAATTTTGTTGAAACTGGTGGAGTAGGTTCGGAGATATGTGATTTTACCTAAATTCAGGCGGTGCCACGCCCATTGTCCAATTTTCACACCTGCTCTCATTAAGTGTATTTGTCTCTCTCGGCGGCAAAATGTAATATGTCTGACCTTATTTCCTTATTGCTTTATCGCAATTTTTGTCGTTTTTAAGAAAATCGTTATTTTCATGCTGGCGCGAGACGATTTGAAATGATATGTCCTGTGCAAATTTGGGTGATATAGTTTAAATGGTTTAGGAGATAAATACATTAAACCTATTAGGTGGCGTGACCACGCCCACTTTTAAAAAAGATTCAAACCACAGGTGCCTTTCATTATTGCGATTCGTTGTACCAAAATACGGTTTTGTATCTTAATTTGCGGATAAGTTATGGCAAATTATTAGTTTTCGATTAATGGCGTTTTGTAGGCGATTACACACTTCTACAAACTCTTTTCACATCATCCTGATCATTTATATATAAGTACATACAAGTATATATATAACCCTAACTCGATTATTTTTAAGTGAAATAAACAACCGTTCAGTAAACAAAACTACTATACTCTGTAGCAAGATGTTGCAAGAATATAATAATAATTTTACGAAACGCAACATAACAAAATATGTACACTTCAAAGCAAAGGCAACTAAAAAACTAAAGCTATAAAACTCTTTAAAAATATAAATGGCTTTAAATGTATCTTGCTTCCACAGTTCTTGAGTCACTTCGTCAACTTCACTATCTAAATCCTCTTTGGATTAATGAATTATTTCGGTTTCATTTACTTCACATAAATAACTATCGTTTCGTTATCAACTATTTCTAATTTTTCAAATATACCAGCCCTTTTAAAGCAATTTTGAACAGTTTGGGGTGTGACTAGCCACCAAGATCTCTTAGCATAATACAATGTCTTTAGAATTGTAATGCTTTTTAAATATGCTTACTTGTTCTATAGCTAGTACTTGTTCTCGAATCAAACACTTTCTGTAATGTAAGCGGTGGTAAAAAAATTATTTATATATTTTGTGTCGTAAAACTAAGTTTATGGCATGTAGCGTTATCAATTAGTAGAACAATATTTCTTTTATTTCTTTGAAGTTTATCGTCTATATCTTTTATAACTTCAGTCCATATAATGGAAGTCATCCAAGCTTTCTTATTGAAATTGAAATATGTTTATCAGGTCCAGTTGAAATGCTAATAAGCAGAAAAGTTTCATATTTTTAAACAACGCGGCTTCTAGTGGCGCCATCTGTCTGAAATTGTTATCCCTCAATTGTGAGTTTTATTTGCATTGTATAAATGATCAGGATGACGAGACGAGTTAAAATCCCAATCTCTGTCTGTGCAAGCTTAAGACAATGGGAGATATATAATTGAAATTCAAAGAGGATTCTTTGCTGACAGTAGTATGTCAAAAATGGGTTGAATCGGGTCAATAACTTTATACCTAATATAGAGATTTTTGAACTTTCGTGTGATATTATACCGTATATATCGGCCAATATGTAAGTTATCTCAATGAAATTGAGAAAGTGTATTGTACTAATAACGTACGTAATCTTTACGTCTAAAATGGATACAGTTGGGCGAAAACTTAACCTAGCCCCCATATAACTTATATCAGGATTTTCGAACATGCGGATGACTTTACTCCATATGGTAGGTGATAGTATGTGAGGTACCTTAATGAAACCCTGAAAGCATTTTATTAGTTCACGGCATGTTAATAGTATGTGGTATTAGCAAAAATTGATACAATTGGGGCAATACTACCCCCAATTCCTATATACTACTCATGCTGATTTTCCTTATTCTAACAAGTTGTATGTCGAATATGTCGGTCAGTGAGTATTATTTATATATAAATTTATTCAAAATATGTTCTCGAGTATACCTGATCAATGTCAAAATTATTGCAATCAGCCCATCTCTTTCTCTATCCCCAAAATACCCCATGATCTCGGTATATACATCTGTGTCCAAACCGTTCAGGTTGGTCAAAATTTGTGAAATTTTAGTGAAATCAAATTTAAATTAAGTTCACATATTTAGAGATCGTTGCTCATATTTTTATACTCTCGACTCTAATAGTTTTGTACACCTAACTGTATCACCTAAAACTGATCGAGTTAGATATAGGCTTATGTATATATAAATGATCAGGATGAAGAGACGAGTTGAAATTCGGGTGACTGTCTGTCCGTCCGTCCGTCTGTCTGTCCATCCGTCTGTCCGTCCGTCCGTGGAAGCTGTAACTTGGGTAAAAATTGAGATATCTTTTTGGTATACAGAATCACACTAGGAAAGGGCATCTGTATTTTAATTTTTGTTTAAAAAGTGGGCGTGATCCCACCCCCTAATAGGTTTAATGAGCATATCTCCTAAACCGCTAAAGCTATAATTACAAAATTTACTAAGAACAAAACTTTTTAGCACGTCTATCGCCAGTATTAAAATAGGTGAAATCGGGTGACAACCCCGCCTACTCCCTATACCACGGTACTGTTAAAAACTAATAAAAGCGCGATAAATCAAGCACCAAACCCGCCAGAGGCATTGAATTTTATCTCTGGAATAATTACAACCACGTCTATTTCCCATATAACACCATTTTAAATTCCAACTGATTCTTTCACTTTTCATTATTCAAATCATGCAACAATGATTGTGTTGGGGTAAAACTTTGCGTGAATAATAAGTTTAAAGTATGCCACCTTGTGACCAAAAATTTTTTAAATCGAACCAAAACTGTTCAAGCCCCTAGGTACTGAATATGATGACCCCAGTGCCTATAGTTGACTTTTTACCGAAAATATCGGTCAACATAAAACAAGGCGGCAAGACTCACAAAGAAATCTAAAACGAGTACACCATTTGACTTTGCGCGAGTATAAAATGTTCGGTTACATCCGAACTTAGCTCTTCCTTACTTGTTTCATTCATTTTTAATCGGTGCCTTAATCAAAAATAAAACATATTAAAAATTTAGGCAGTCTGCACACGACATTCGGACTCGGGGTCTTGACAATACTTCCAGCAAGTTTGGTTGATACAGCTTTTATCATTTGGTAAATTTGTACATAAAATCTATTAGCGCGCGAAACCACGCTCACTTTTACATTCTTTTAACCACATGTGTACCTCCCTATCCTTTCCTACTATGATCCTCTAAACAAAATTTCAATTTTGTAACTTAATGTATGGCTTTATAGCATTTTATAGGTTTCGCTCAGTCCGGATCCAGGGGGGAAAAAATCTTAAAACCATTTGGGAAAGTTGTTCTGCTGGAAATGCTTGCCTGAAGTTTTTTGCTTCAACATCTTAACCTCCATGAGGAAATTATCATATTATATAACGCCTTGTCAAAATCATGATTCGATTATATATGGTAACGTTGTGTCGATACGAAGCGTCCTTTTTATTACGAAAGAAGTATCCGTACATATAATGTCAAAAAAACTGTTTTTTGTTTATCTTATGAATTTTCTTTTTACAATTTTATTGATTTTGTGTGATTTACAATCTATTCGTATTATCATATCACTCAAAAACGCATTTTCATTGGTTGAAATATTTGAAAATTTTATTTTTGAATCATAAAATCAAAACAATACAAGGCAAAAGGGCTGATTTTGGCAATATGGATCAATTGCTTTTGACAAATTGTTGTTTTTAGCCTATCGATATAACCTTATATAAATGAATCATGGTTAAAATCGTAATTTGGAAACAATATACAAAAATTCTTCAAAACTCATTTATGGTCTAGAAACCTTCTTCCAGTGGATGCAATTCAGATTTAAGTTTGTTTGAATTTCGTTTTCAAACTTTCCGATTTTGTTCTTCTAAAGATTCATTTATTTGGCCCAGCAGAAAAAGTTGTGTACAGATCCAATTATTCCAGCGCAATCCATTGATATATTGTGATAAAAATTTATGGAATACGATTTACAGTGCGTTCAAAAACAAAACGCTCTCGTTTTTCAAAGTGTAGATAGCGTTTATTGACAAAAATGTTATAATTAGAGACAATTTCTTGTTTTGTTGTACAGGTTGAATAAACATTCAATACTTAATCCAATGTCCCGCGTTGTCTATTATAGCCAAAGATGTCATGGCAACTTGCGACTAAGTTTTTCGCATATTCCACAGGAATGTAGAGTAGCCGAATGAAATACTTTGTTGATGCTTACGACTCCTTTGAATAAATGTTAACACGTCTCAAAAGATAGAACAATACAAAAGTTGACTCATCTGTAAGTATTACATTGCTATAATCACTGTTGATGTTTTCTTGCGCCCAATGACACTCTTTGTTCAATGTGTATTTCTAAAAGTAGGGGTTTCATAACATTACTGTTAAGTTTGATGCCAGATCTCTGAAGTCTGTCCCGTATCGTAATTAGAGATATACCTTTTTAAACACAATTTTTTTAGTTTCTCTTAGACTGAGCAGTGGTTTCATCTCAAAAAGGAGTACAATAGCTTTGTCCTCACTTTTAGATGTCACAATTCCGCTCTCTTCTTGGCTTGTCATGTACGTTTCCAGTTTCTCTGTAATAGTCAGACCACTTTTACACAGCATTTAAATACATTGCAGTTTTTGTATTACCCCATGTAGGATCTTTAAGATGATTTGTTTGAAAGGCTGCTTCAAAACATTTATTAAACTGAGCACTAATTTTTCTTATTTCACGGCACGAGGTTAAACATTAAGGAGAACAAAATAAACTGACCGAATTATACGCGTCAGGGATCGCAATTGAACATGTGTTAATTTGCAAAAAAATAAAAACAGTTGAATCGAATTAATCGCGAAAAACGATATTTTTTGAACGGACTTACTAACCTACATTGTTCCTTTGCTTTATCTTCTTCAGACTGTCGACCAAAATAGAACAGTAAGTTACGTTTCATGATTAAAAATTACTTCACAACATAAGTTTTTATGATTAAAATTGTGATACAGATCATCCCCTGCACATGTTCTTATTTTCTCTTTCACGTTGCTCACAAGTCTGTACCAAATATGAGGTGTAGTAAAAAGAAATTTATTTATTTATCTGTATCTCGCGTTGTATAAGTCCGATCAGGTTCCGCTAGATGGCGTTAGAAAGATGACATTTCGTACTAAAAAAGCTTTTCTGACAGTTTTGAGGTTGGTTGATTTAGTTTTGTTTGAGCGCTCGTCAAAGATGGACACTAGCAAAGAGAAAAAAGCTAAATTTTACAGTTTCTCTTCGATAAGGGCGAAAACGCAAGCCAGGCGGCTGAAAATGTGAATAGCGTTTATGGTTCTGATACTTGCGCAATTTTGGGTTTGTCGATTCCGTTCCGAAAATTTCGATGTCAGCACCCCGCTCTGGAAGACCAATTATCGAAAATATGGATTTCTTTTTACTACACAAATTCAGAAGAATTTAAGAAGTAACATTTTCTGTAGAAAAGCCTCCAGAGAGAAATTCCGGATCCGCCATTACTTTCGCTTAACGGCATTATGTGGACCTGGAAAAGACCCGACTTCGTCCAACACCAATCTTCTCATAGTTTTCTTAGTTTTTACTCAAGTTAGCGCTTGCACGGACAGACGAATTTCAACTCGTCTCGTCAGCCTGATCATTTATATACATAATAATATACCAATTATAAACAACAAAGATGAAAAAGTTTAATTTTAGCCAGCATGGAAAATATTTAATTTTATATAACTTGATCTAAATAAAATCACTCCAATTTAAGTAAATAATTCTCAGACCAAAAGCTGTTTCGTAATAGTAATCGATTACTAATAGCGGGTGTGCATGAAAGTCATGAAGAACATACCATAAATCCACAAGAATTTCGTGTTAACCAAATGGAATCCCGCTGAGAGGTAGAACAATTAAAGGTTGTAATACAATAAGCGCCGCAAAAATATTACAGAAGTACATAGATCATATTATATTCGCTTAAGTACATTGCGAGTTGCCCTTAAAATCAAAAAGTGCTCAGAAGGTACTCAGACGCATATCCTGACAATGTAAGGTACGACGTGGCATAGAAGTACCTGAAAAAACCATGAGTGCACGTGCAGCGCGTTCATCATAAAAAAATCTTTACTTTGTGCACGTGCCCGGGATTTTCACGTAATCAGAATTACAAACTTCAATGTGTATGTAAAACCTCCTGCCTTATGCGCTTGCATTAAGCACGACAAATTCGACATTTTTCAGGAATAAATGTAAAATGATGCTATTGCAGTCCTTAGAAGGATGCCATGGTAACCCACCATCACCCTTATTTGCCATATTCATACATATATATGTATACATTTATATTTACGGTGTGTTCGTACACCAATATACTTGTATATATACATGTATATGTATGGTCACATGTCCATATATGCGCTAACTGGCACACGCCCAACTTTTGACTTTTTGAATATTTTCTTTCACTGTATGACAAAAATTAACAATCAACGATAACATGACTTCATTTTATGTACATATATGATTATGTAATCATAATTTGACCGTATATACGAAAACTTGTACGATGATGATAATTGAATAATAATATACAATACTTATAGCGAAATTGATCACAGCTGATCCTGTCCTGAGACTTTCTATATTTAAAATAACCGGTACAGAATATACATAAAACAAATAGATAGCAGCTAAGTTCGATATTATTTATTATATACTCTCGCGATGCGTAAAGATCAATAGCGGGCAAAATCTTGTGAAACCGCTAATTACCCGAAACGCTACAAGAGATTTCTGTTAAAGCATCCTGCACATTTTGTTTCTTAAGGCCGAAGTGTACATGCCACCGGTCATCCCTTTGTCACTCATTGCTTTCACACTGACCGGCATATGCTTTCACACGTGCGGCAGATAAATATTTTCTCCATATTTCAATTATATATCGTAATGACCGATATTTTTGTAAAGTGTCAACCATAGACATGGTCCATATGTTCGGAATTTGGTGGCTTTAGAAGTTATGATCTTATTATGCTCTACATATGAGAATCTGAACATTTTGTAGCAAATAATACTCATATTCCAATAAAAGCACCCACTGAGAAACCTCGAAAGCCCCAATATACAAGGTTTTTGTAGATTGAGACGATTTATATACTAGTTGATCGATTTAATATATCGTGGCCTGAAAGAGTCACAAATTCAACAGTCAACAAAATAAAATCGGTTTCAACATCGGCATCAAAACTCCTTTTTTGTTTTATCACAAACAGCCATATTTATTTTAAACATGAAGCTTGGTTAATTCTTTCTCTAATTCAGCACTTAGTACGGGAGAAAAAATCTGGGTTAAATGTGTATGTGGAATTCATCATTTATTGGTTTCCATGAAAAATTTTTCAATATGTCGAAACTTCGGTTAGCCGCGGTTTGCTGGGAATATTTCCAAATTTATACAGAACTTTATCTACAACATTTTGCTTATGAAATCATCATTCGTTATCGGACAAAATTATGAAGTCCCGGTCACGTTATTGTCAAGAAAAGATGCTCACTTTTCTTAAGACTTCCCTCAAAATTACCTTTAGTTTCTGCAGGAAGTCAGCCATATACACGAAGCTCCTCGTACTAGTGGTATCAGAGCAAGAACAGATATGATACATTTTTAAAGAGAGTTAACAAACGCTTTAGGCAACATTAGCGCAAAGTTAAATTTCGATGTCTCCATTGGTCCCTAATTTATTGCAAACTGAAAGTATGTGATGTGGAAACAACATCTACGTTCAAACAGTACATAAGCGATTTAGCCGCTCCGGTCAAAGATCATTTTCGCCGCCCTTTACATACACAAAGCTATATAAGTCATGAGCTACGTAAAATACGTGTGTTGCTGGGATAATCCCTACCTATAAAATTCACGTCAGTCTATTGGGCCTTCTGAAGAAGTACCTATATGAAAGTTGATGAGTGTTTTTATGTTAGTAAGTATACAATGTATGTCTTTATAAGGAATTTCGCAGAAATTTATATCTATTTTTATCGACATAGTTATGTACCTTTCAACTTTATCATCATCATCAACCTATTTCGACTCACTGCTGCGTATGGGCCTCTTTTCCCTTGTGCTATTTTCCCTGTTTCGAGCTAATGTTGCCTATGTATTTCTAATGTTGCCCTTTAACTAAAGGAACAATAAACATTTTTCATCAAAATCGTTTCAGAAGTTAAAACGATTAGGACCAAGCTGTTTAATTGTTTATTATGGTCAATCGGTACGTATAAAAATACACAACAAAAAATTTGTTTTAAAATTTAATACAGATAAAAAAACAATTATGTTACTACAAAACAAATCGGTTATTTTTTAAAATAATGAAACCAAAAATTAAACAGTTTTTCAGAGAATATTTAATCCTACCTCGTAATTATAGTAATTTTCTTCGCACTTTTTGTTCTGCAAAATCTTTAATAACATCTGATAAATTTATACTGTCGCAAACATTGTGTTCTATTGAAATCATAGCCAAAGAGTATTCCTCCGAAAGTTTGAGGGAAATCCCCATCAAACAAAAAATAGACTGAAAGTTGCCAATTCAGAAATGTAAAATCGGCAGAAAATTCGAATGAATTTTTTTGTATTCTAGTTTTTAAGTTCTAGTCTAATTGGTTCTTCATTTCTAATTTAGGTATTTCTTCTTCTTAGTGCTCCACAAAATTTCAAAAGTATCGATACTTTACTCGATACCAGTATCGTATCTGAACCGAGAAAAGGATCGAAACTAACCTATCGACATTGATAGGTATCAAGTACTTTTTTTTGTTTTTAAAACTTTCGATTTATCCGAGAAATTTCGGAACTTGGAGTTCAGACTTTTTACCAATGAGACACTTTTAATAATGGTATCAAACTAACTAAATTTAAATTTCGACGTATTAAATTGTCGGTATAAAAATACATTAGCGCAACAGTAAAAAAGTAAATCAGGATTAAACCGTACTAAATCATTTTTTACTTAATTGATAAAAATAAATCTACTTAATAGGAAAATAGATACGAATCACGAGAAACTGGCAACATACGCTCTGAGTATGATTATAGCTTTAGTGGTTCGTGAAACATCTTCATTATTAAAGCACGAGGACAAGCTAATTTTTAAAAAATTTTAAACTTCAGATGCTCTCTTAATTTTGACATGTCAACCTCGATTAGATTTAGGAGTTAAACCCATTTGTCTGGTTAACAAAACTTTTGAAAAATACACCGGAGTATACAAATGTATTAGGTTCATAAAATACATATATATGGCAGCACTCGTTGCAACCCCAAATATATGATACAAGTTAACGGGATGGTATGCATAAAAAAGTATAATAAAGAGCGTTCTCTTGGTAATGAGAATAATAAGGTACACTGAAGCTCGCATATCCTCATAATGCTCTTCATACATTTCAATACCAATACAAAATAACAAGTAAGAAGGAAATTATACCCACTATTTAACAGATTTATTTTTACTTTTACATCCTTATATGCATGTGTATCATATGTAACAAAAGCGATGTATTTTGTACTAGTCTAATTATGTCTCCTTTCATTATTACATACATATGTGCGTATGCTTTCCAAACATAACATAACAGTTCTGGTTTGTGGCCTTTTCTCTCAATCTTTTGTTAATGACGTAGCGTATCATAATCTTTGAAAAGTTACAAAGCGGTAATGTAAAATTACCATTTCTTGAATCGTTACCATATCAGAAAAAATATATTTTGTTGAATATATAACGAAACAAGTATACACATATTACATGTTTAAATATTATATAGGGGTAACTCTTTTATACCCTGAAAAGGGTATATTAAGTTTATCAAGAAGTTTGTAACACGAAAAAGGAAACGTGACCCTATAAAGTACATATGTATATAAATAACCAGCGTGTCGAGCTGAGTCGATTTACCCGTGTCTGTCTGTCCGTATATATGCGAGCTAGAACTCTCAATTTTTGAGATATCAATCAACCCGCCTTTTCTCACCAAGAAG